TTGAAATTGATTTCAGAGAGTCTCTGCGAAATATCAGTCAGGTCTGATTACCATTTCTGTTTCCAATCCGGTGCCACCATTTGCGCTTCAACAATAGATGACTTGAGTTTGGAGCAGTGCCCTGAGGCACTTTCTCCAGGATATTCTTACTCTTTCTAGAGGTCTCCATTCATACGGTTGAACAAGTAGCAACTCTTTCGAGTTTCTTTCAGTGAGCCCTCATGAACTATCCTGAAATAGTAAAACTGTCCATCTTCTTTCCAATTTCATTACATGAGTTATCCGAGTTGCGCGATATGCCTGTCATTCCTAAAACCGTATGTGAATAAATGAGAGGGTTAATCGACTGTTGGTTCAGAGTGCACAATCAATTTTCCGTGAAGAGCTTCGTAATTGTCCGCTCTCTTTTCATTTACTCTTGCCATTTTTTCACTGGTCACCTCAGAATCTCGTAAACGGACTCTGTGGAATTTGACTGTTCTCACCTTTTTATGCCATTTCTGACACTTTGTTTGGAAAGTAACAACATCGTTAAGCATGAAGTTAACTGACCTTATAAAGAGAACCTCCTTTATGGATCAGTCCAGAAAGCTTCATAAGTTAGTAGCTTATCCACATCATGGAAAAAGGGCAACGGCTAAAGTTCAATGATCGCATACCACGACGAAATTTACTCCTGTTTATCCCTGTCAGTTGCCATAACTGCTTCCGAAGTCTGTCATAAGTTTCAAGACAATCATGTTACAAGGATCAGAGGATGCCAAATATGTTCACGTGCCATATGTAAAAAAGGATTTATAGCCAGAGCCCGCATTAATCGTTAGCGAATATTTTAAAGCTCTTTGACCATTTAGACAGAGGATGGCAAACGATTGGGAAGGTTCAGACCATGACATCCAGAAATTAAATGAAACGATGAGATTCTGGGTCACACAACACATCTAAGAATTATGCAAAGTTAAGAATAGGATTAAATATGATTACCTTGATTGTCCTTCTGTTGCAAAGTTAAACGATGTCTTTACCCCATTCTTGACAATTTTGCATTTTGTCAAACAGTGAAAAATTCACGTTCTACACATAATACATATGACGTCCAATCGAAGGGCTGCTAACATATTTTGGAACATGGCAATTCGAGGTACGTTCAAACGTAAGCTGTTGCTTCTCGAGATCCAGAGAAAACAACTGAATTTATTCCGGATTCTAGAAGAGAGATTTTCTAAACGAACTCTCTCTTTATGCTACGTGACAGAACTCTACGGGGCTGACTGAGGGCAAGATGGTTCAAGCATACGGAATATCTAATAGTCCCATTTCTCGAAATCCGATCACCATATTTTACAAAATTAGCCGAAGACCGATGGCATTATGAAATGCTCCTGCGCAGTTCTGCGCCTAGAACCAAAAAGGAAAAACGAAGGCATGAAAGAAGAAGCGGAAACAGAGCAGA